GTATAAATCAAAATGTAAATTGTAGATTTTTTTTCTACTTGGATCAGAACAAAACGTTACTCAAATATCCATCATTTTACCTCCTAACCTCCTGTAGTGGAACACAACCTTCATAAAGTTTGTTTTTATTCCTCACAGAAGGTCAAAACACATTCATATCGGAACAAAACCTAAAATTACAGTTCGATGTTCAAAAATGAAACCCGTTTCATTAAGAACGATGTCATAAAAACTTTAATGTGTTTTAATATGTCTGCTGTGGATGTGAGCGCATTTCCAAATGTTGCCCCAGCTTGTAAATTTTACATCTCCCAGCCGCTTCCAGGGGACAGAACTAAATGTTTAAATGTCAATTCCGGGTCAGATCCAGCCGATCACACACTGAACATCTGATACGCACACGCTGCAGCTGGGAGTGAGAGCAGAGGAGGAAGCAGCTGCTGAGGTGGTGGTGTGCAGAAGGTCGACGTGTTCGTGTGTTTCTGCTGTTAACGACCCATCTCCTGGACCTCTGCCTCTGGACTGCAGCTAACGCCAAGTTTCCTCACTACGCTATGCGAGGTGTCGGCTAACATCCCCTACTGCAGGTGGTCCAGGTTAATTATAGAGTCTGCTCAGCGCCGAGTGTCCCTGGGTTCAGATCAGACTGATGCAGAACAACCAAATAAACTCTACTTTGTAATTTTGTACTTTCTTTTCATCAAAGCAGCAACTTTTTTTCCCCTAATATAAACTCATTATAGATGTTTTCTATGGGGTGCCGTTTGTAAAGTTACACGGTCAAAAATTACCACCAATATTTTTGTTTTATTTAGCCTTTTATAAGAAAAAAAGAACAGATTTATTTTTCAAAGTCAGTTTTTCACCTAAATATTTAACTTAAATATTTAGGTAGATAACTAAATATTTAAGTTTCAAGTTAAATATTTAGCTTGTTAACTAAATATTTAATTTGTAAGTTAAATATTTAGTTTATAAACTATGAAATTTATAAATGTATGAATCATATGGTGAAAAACTGACTTTGAAAAATAAATCTGTTCTTTTTTTCTTATAAAAGGCTAAATAAAACAAAAATATTGTATTAGTGGTAATTTTTGACTGTAACGTTACAAACGACACCCCATATTTTCACACACAAAACCACACATAGTTTTTTCATTTCCTGCTCACTCCACTCCGCTCAGATGCTTACTGAATAACACAGACAGAATAACAGAAGTGTGCTCACACAGAGATAAGAGAACGCATGTAAAAAAAATAATGACATCTGTTGGGAGTCGAGAGTTTCTCCATGCGACGCACACAAGAAACACAGACAGACGCTGATAAATGTACTGATTCTGCTGGAAGCAGTGTGCATACCCGGAGTCGAAGTGTTCTTCGTTTCATTCCAGCCTGATTGAGTGTTTGGTTGCTCTAAAACTACTGCTGTGGAAATTAAGAGGAAGTGAGCGTCACCTGTGAAGCCTGATATGCTTCTGTGGCAGCGGCAGCTTTTGGCTCAGGGAGCCCGGCGCTGCTGCAGCTGTGCCAGTTCACAGAAATAAATCTAAACTTTCATGTCGCTCAGTGATGTGGCTGACTTTTTAACTTGATTGGTTGGACTTTTATTACTCCACCACCAGTGCCTCCAAAACAGCAAGCAAAATAAATAAATAAATAAATAAAT